ATGCGATTGTTAAAACGAATATATTATTAGATCAGGAGCAGACATTTCCCCAACTAACTCAAGGACCAGAGAACAACAGACTAAAGCAATAAGAAACGGCTAATAACTGAGACACACGCATCAATAAGAAGCTTAGTGGTAGTGGTGACTATTTTCCGCAAGCCAATGTTGATGGACAGGAAATTGTTACAAAGTTGGAATCATTGATAAAAGTAAGGATAACAGTCTTCAAGATCACTGTCACTGGATGACAGCGCTTATTTTTCACAATTTCTTTAATAAACAGCTAACTGAAATGGATCTGTGTCTCTTAACTCAAATATATATGTGTGTGTGTGTGTGTGTGTGTGTGTGTGTGTGTGTATGTGTGTGTGTATTTGAAATTAGGACAAACAACTCAATGTGGACAAGTTTCACAATTTGATTCTCCAAGATTATTCTACCAAGATCCTGAATCTACTTGCATTATAATGCACTAGTTAATAGTTTCCTAAAATGGTTTGAGGACCGTTAAACTTAGTGTTTATTGTGACCTAGTCATATAGGATTCTGCAGGAAAAATATTTTCATAGCACATAATGGATCTAAAATGTCAGCTTAATAGAATGACAGGATGTCTTTTAAAAGGACCAGTGAAGTCTTATAGAGGCTCTAGTAAGAGTAAAATCCCAAATCAGCTAGTGTTCTTATAAGATACTTTTCTTCGGTAGAATTCATAGATCTAAGAACTAAGGAGTGGCCCTCAGTACTATCCTACCCAATGACTTACTCAGGGAATCTATTCTTTAATTCCTGCAATTCTGGGCTCTGCCTGTTTTGAGGTCCCTGTTCTCAGAAGGGTAAAAAGCTTTTATTAAGTGACATAGTGAGACTCCTATTAGTCTTTAAGCCAATGGCTTTTATTCAGTGACTTTAGGGCCCTGAATGAGGAAATAACAGATAAGAAGAGTCACCATCCTGGCAGGAGTAACCATCTCACCAGCTATGCTGGAGATAGGACTGCAGTATCATAGCAGGGAAGTACAGAAGGTTGAAAGGGTGACCTTGATCAAGAGGCATTGTATCCACAAACTGCTCTACTAAATGGCATATTTAAAAGATAATTAAAGATAATTAAAAACTAGAAAAGTGGGGAAAAATAAAAATAACACCAAGAAGATAGAAGAAAAAGAATGTGTTAAATCCCCAGGTCTTCTACTGAGTTGGCGATTTCATATACTCATGTCCAGTGTTGGTATTAAAGAAATCAGAGCAGCAGTTATGTTTTGAGAAGAACATGATGACCCAAATCTGAAGTTTCTCTCTAACAAAGGTCTGGGACCTTTGGGAAGTTATATAGCAAGATGAACTGATGAGAGATATGAGGAAATAATAATAATAATAATATCCCAGTGCAGTTACTTTTTTAAGGTGTCCCCCCTTCCCAATAACCAGAATCCTGGATTCCCTTTACTCAGAGAGAATTATCTCATGTAGCCAGAGGATGGGAGTGGATATGAAGTACTCAGGCAGGTCTCTCAGGATTCATTCCTCTAGCTCCTGAGGGTATTAACAACTGATGGCTAACAGCAAATTGACTTTGTACAAATTGCCCCGAGCCCAACAGAGTTGGTCCTCAACAAAGTTGTAACTCCTAGAAGAAGCAATGCAAATTGAATAACTGGTTGACAGGCTAGGATTGGAATAGGTATAGAAAAGCTTAGCTCTCTTGCCTCAGGGCATGCTAGCTCTGAGGGGACTTCATAGCTCCATTTTCCTCCCACAACTATCTAGACTTTGTAGCAACTTTCCTCTGGTTAATTCTCCATACTTTATTCCCCATAGAAATGCATTATCTTCCTAGGATCGTTTGGATATCATAACATTATTTGTAGGCCATACAAAATTATCAATACAGGATGACAGGCTATATGGGAAATGGATAAGAATAATACACGTATTATGTCATGTACTCAACTATTTCTCCAGCCTTATTTGGCCCAAGGCCGGTATGATTTAACCCCCTTCTGCCTGAGAGATGGAGTATCTCATAGTTTCTCTTTTCTCAGAAATCTAACCTAAAACAAATATATAAAAACATATAAATTATACACATAAATGCACACATATATTTTAAATATTCCTAGATGCATAGAGTATATATATATATATATATTCAATATATATTTAAATATTTATTTTAAACATGTGTATGGATTATTAAACTCTATCTTATTTGGTATATGTATAGCTACATATATAAACTATTATGTAAAATATCCCTTTATTATTTGTCTGTGTAAAATATTGTTCATTAATGTTATTTTTGTTTCTAACAAGAAAAAATTCTCTTAAGACTCTTATAAGATAGAAATGCTTAAATATGAGTGAGAACTCAGCCAGTAGAATGTTCAGTAATCTGAATCACAGGATTGGATTCTCAGAAGGCCAGTGACCACAAACTCATCCAAATCAGGAAAAAGTGTGTTTAAATGGTTGTTTTTTAGTCTGTTCTTGACTTATATTAACAAGGAAGCAATTAAGGATACATCAACAAATAAAGTTTGCAAATACTAGACAGATAGACAGACAGACAGACAGACAGACAGACAGACAGACAGACAGACAGACAGATAGATCGATCGATCGATCGATCGATAGATAGATAGATAGATAGATAGATAGATAGATAGATAGATAGATAGATAGATAGATAGATCTTACATAGATAGATAGCTATTTTAAAACTCCAGAGAGTCATTATTTTCTGTTATCAGTCAACTGTTTCTCGGTCATTTCTTTAACTGTTCTGACTTCAGAATTTTGTTGTGTAGAAGATGATGTTGTCTAAAACATAATTTATGACTGAAGAAAATTATTTTAAACAAGAAAGGAAATATAGTATATAAAAGATAGACAGTAAGGTTGATTTTAGTCCAACAATCTCCCACAGGATTGTATTTGTATATGGAGAGCTAATTGTTGAACACATGAATATATGTTACACTTAGAACTTGTAAGCATTCCAGGACAGCAAGGGTGAACTTGAACTGAAAATTCTTTAATTTTTACTGAAAAGGACCAGTTGTTCTATAAATTTGTACCACTAAAATTAGAGGCTTTTGAGGTAACTGTAAAAAGATTCTAATGTTGGAAAAAAAAGTGCTCAGAATGTTGCAAAACTACGTATCAAAGTAAGACTGTCAAACAATTCACATTAAAAAAAGTTTTTTAAAATATGGGGAGATTTTGGATTCAGTTTTTTTTTATTCCATAATGCATCTATTGCCTTACAAGTTGTGTTAGCATTTATTATTTTCACAGTTCAGAAGAGTCTTTTCTAAGGGAGAAATATCTTTTAAATATATAGGATAGCATATGCTCACAATCTTGGATATTCTCATATCCATATAAATACAGTTGGGATATGTGACTTTCATATGAAAGTTCTTCTCGTGCAATAGTGTTTAATAACCTCCTCAAATGGGTAAGTGACACATGGGTACCTATTTATAATGAGAATTGAGTGCATTATCATTTTAGAGCTAAGGGAACGAAGAAAACAGAATCAATGAGCCATTATTAAAATGAGATTCAAATAATGAAAAGAAATTATTAATGTTAAAAGCTAGCTTACATGAGTATTTATGATATGAACAGTGTCTTATGGGCTATCTGATTTAATCTTCCAATAGCCATAAAAATAAGAAATCATTTTACTGATAAGCTCTTTGAAGATCAAAATATTTAAACCATTGTTATGGTTATAAAGCTAACAGGGATAAAGCAGGGTGAAGATGGTAATTAATAGCAATTGGTTCCCTCACAGTTGGTAAGTTTCTACTAAGTGGAACTAATGACTTGTTGTTGCTCTAAGGCCAGTATACATGCTTATTTCTTCTTCTCTTAAGGAAAACCTAGAATATACTAAATCAGAGGTTGGCAAAGTGGCCCATTAGCAAAATGTGCTGGTGGTGCTTGTGTTTCTATTAAAGTGTTACTGGAATTTCAGCAATTCTCATCCTTCCTTCATTTGCCTACTCTCTTTGGGTGCTTACACATTGTAGCATTAGAGATAAGTAGTTAGAATAATGACTGCATGACCCACAAAGCCCAATTATTTACAAATAGGCATTTTCCAGAAAATGCTAAACGCTGTGGGGCACAGTCGCTTGGAACACAGGAAAAATGGCACTTAGTTTTCCAATATGCAGCAGTAGAAATAGCAATGCCTTTTAACAGTGCCTTCTGTTAGCACATTTCAAATTAGAAATATAATCTTGGATGTAGAATACTAAGATAAGGATGAATTGAACAGAGTTTCAAATCATATTTTATTACTACAAAGATTATAATAATTAATAGACATCATAATATAAAATAGTAATAATTGGTAAAGGAAGTAGATCAAAGAAAACAGTCATGTAGGCATTGTGATCTTGATTTTTTTTTTTCTTTCATTAAGAATTTCCCCAGTTCACCCTCTTGTGTGTTTTTCTAACTTTGAGAGCTTTGAACTTGAATCTCACTGATGGAGCTCTCTCATATGTGGTGGTCGACAAGGAGTTGGACATTTGCAAAGTGTATTTTGCTGTTTCACTAGAGAGCAGAATAAATAAGTTTCACATTGTTTTGCTTGTCTTTATTAGGAAATTTCTTAATAAATAGATTCAATAAGATCAATGGAAAAAAATAAAACGACTGATAAGATACAATCTCACTTTAAAATATACATTAGTGGGCTGGGAAGGTGGCTCAGTGGTAGAGTGTTTGCCTTGCATGCCTCAAGCCCTGGGTTCGATTTCTCAGCACCACATAAGCAAAAAAAGAAAAAATCTGGAAGTGACACTGTGGCTCAAGTGGTAGAGTGCTAGCCTTGAGCTGAATCGCTGAGGGACAGCACCCAGGCCCAGAGTTCAGGCCCCACGACCGGACCCCCTCAAAAATAATATGCATTAGTTTGTCCAGTTACAGCTTTTGTAACTCATTATCTTATGCTTCCTTGTTTTTCTATTACCCAGATTTGGATGATCCAGTAGTTACTGTCCATCAGAGTATAGGTGAAGCTAAAGAACAGTTCTACTATGAGAGAACGGTGTTCCTCCGCTGTGTGGCCAACTCCAATCCACCCGTGCGGTATAGCTGGAGGCGTGGCCAGGAGGTGTTACTACAAGGGTCTGATAAAGGCGTTGAGATTTATGAGCCCTTCTTTACCCAGGTAAGAATGAACTTATAATGTTTTCACCTTCTATCCTTTCCAAGTTCAGGCACCCTGCATTAGTATAGCTAGTTGAAAAGAGAATTTCTGCTAAGAGTGTTCTTTGAAAAACACAATGTTTTCAACTGAAAACTCCAAATGTGATATGAAGGATAACTTATTTAATAATGAGGTGGTTACTTTAAGAAGTGTTAGGTTCACTTTGAACACGTTGAAAAGTGTTAGGTTCATGTAAGCTAACTTATATGTTGTTACACACAAATTAACATAGGTTTCTCTAATAGGTAATTAATTATACATTTTCATGATGGATTTGATGTTTATGGGATTTTTTGGTTTTTGTTTTTGTTAAGAGGAGATATTTTGTTTCTGAATTTTCAATAATAAATAATTGGAACACATGGAGACATATATTTATAATGTACTTAGCTTTGGTTATAGGAAAAAATATGTCTTTAAAGAATTTCTCATCCTTGTTTTAGTTTTGGCTTAATTTGGGTATAGAACATTAATTATACAAAAAATCAAAATGTCAAATGAGTCAAGAAAAAGAAAAATTGAATTATATTCACCTAAGTTGAATATGATATGAAATACTCTTGTGCTTGTCTGCTAAGATTATCCTAGATATATAATAGTTATTGAAAGTAAGGGAAGCCAACATGGGTCCTATGTTTCTTTGGGTCTGGCTTATTTCACTTAATATAATTTTTTTTCCAAGTCTTTCCATTTCGTTACAAATAGGGCAGTGCCATTCTTTTTTATGGAGGCCTAGATTTCCATTGTGTGTATATATAAATACATATATGTATATATATATATATATATATCACATTTTCTTGAACCATTCATCTATTGAGGGGCATCTGGGTTGGTTCCATATGTTAGCTATGGTAAATAATGAACCCCAAGATAGGGACGCAAGAAGGTTTTCCTTTGTTGCTGTTGTTTTTAATGTACTATGTGATTTTTTTGTGTCCTTCATATGTTATTCCCCATGGTATAACCTCTGTTTTCACTGTATTTAATTCTGGTGCCCTGCATCTTGTATATACATTTTTCTAATTTGGGAAGGGGAAGAGAAATAACAAAATTCTGAAACAAGGATACAGGTTGATCCATTGTAACAATGAGACTTACAAGACACTATGTTGAAAATGAACTTTACAACTTTGAGGGGGGAGGGAGAAGTTGGGGAGGTGGGCAAGGAAGGGATAGTAGAGGAAAAACAAAGGGGGCTAACAATGCTTATTACCTTACTCATTTAACTGTAAACCCTCTGTACAATATCTTTACAATAAAAAATACTTTTGTGTAAATGTAGTGTAATGTCTCAAGAATGGCAAATTAGTCTTTGGGAAGATACTGTAATTTATATGAATATTTGAGAGACATTATAATAAGACTTTTTGATGACCAGAAAGATACACAAAAAAGGTTTTAAATTAAAAAATGTCATTTGTGCTAATGTTCAAACCAATGAATAAAAATGATTAATTGTCCATAAAGCATGCTGTATATAGATTAGCAACATCCTTATGTCAATAGTGCGGAACATATATAAGTGCTATTTAAATATTACAAATATTACGCTTTGTAATTTTAAATATTCATAGAAATAAATTCTTATAACATTATCCAAAATTTGTGAATTTCACAACAGGCTATTATATGTTATTAACCATTAAGAATAATGCCTGAAATTCTAGCTACTCACTGAGACTTGAGGATCAGGGTTCAAAGCCAGCAGAGACAGGAAAGTCCTTAAGACTCTTACCTCAAATTAACCACCAAAAATGCCAGAGGTGAGCTAAGGATCAAGTTATAGAGGGCTAACCTTGAGGGAAAAAATGCTGAGAAACAGCTACCTGGCCCTGAGTTCAAACCCTACAAAGAGCACGCAAACACAAAAAAATAAGGTCAGCAGGATGCAGTTTTATCAATCATCTTTCAATTCAGTTGTATGGTTTTCAGTTAAACAAATTTTAAAGATCAATTAACCTCATCTAGATAATCACATAGTTATGTATTTAACAATGCTCTTACCAATTTATTTTTTAAAATTTGAGCAGTATTAAAATGTCAAATATATATATATATTTTGGGGGGGGTCTGGTCATGGGGCCTGGGCTCTGTCCCTCAGCTCTTCAGCTCAAGGCTAGCGCAATACCACTTGAGCCACAGTGCCACTTCCGGCTTTTTTCTTTTTTTGCTTATGTGGTATTGAGGAATCGATCCCAGGGCCTCATGCATGCAAGGCAAGCGCTCTACCACTGAGCTATCTTCCCAGCCCCAAATATATTTTCTTCTAAACTTCTAGGTCATTCTCACAGTCTAGTAAATCCAGGAGAATTTCCTATTGCTCACCTGCAGAGAGATGTAATTACCTAGAAGTTTACACATGTGTTTTATCCAATTTGGGGGAAGTGTTTTATACTGTTAACATAATTAAGAATTTGTTTGAGCTGGGCACCGGTGGCTCATGCCTATAATCCTAGCTACTCAGGAGGCTGAGATCTGAAGATCATTGTTCAAAGCCAGCCCGGTCAGGAAAGTCTGTGAGACTCTTATCTCCAACAAACCACCAGAAAATGGCAGTGGCATTGTGGCTCAAGTAAATAGAGAGCTAGCCTTGAGCTGAGGAGCTGAGGGACAGTGCCCAGGCCCAGAGTTCATGCCCCACTACTGACAAAAAAAAGTATTTGTTTGAAAGTTATAAAGCAAGCTGAAGAGAACTTCTTATGTATTCCTTTTGATTCTGTTTCTATGTAAGCAATTTTCAGAGCCCATCATGCAAGATCTCTCCAGCTAGTAGCTATTGATCTCCCTTTCAAAAGCAATGATTATTTTCTCTTCCCCCTTTCTTTTAATAGAGAATAACAATTTGTTAAATATGAATGTTTCAAAATTGGTGCTTCCTTTTATCTGCGTATCAGACTTTACTGCATGTAACAGTCATTTTTCATGTTTGACTGGCAATTGTACTAGCAGTGCTGTTGGTCTGATGTAGCATTACATGTAGTTATCTTAACACATCTTTATGAAACAAATTTTTCTTGCAATTCTGTGGTCTTTGTTTTTTTTTGAGGGTGTTATGGTACCAAGATTGAACTCAAGGTCTTGGACCTTCCAAGCAAGCACCCAACCACTTGAACCACATCTCAGACTTTTATGCCTTAGTTATTTCTTAGATAAGGTCTCACACTCCCTGCCTTATGGCCAGACTTGGTCATGATTTTCTACATCTGCCTCACCAGTAGCTGGAATTAACCAGAATAAGGCACCATGCCTGCTCTCAATTCTGTGTTTCTGATTACGCTGTTGCTGTACATAATTGGCAGTGCCATACAGTTTCAACTTCTATTTAAATTTTGATTACTTAGTTTTCTTTCTGAACTACACATACACACACACACACACACACACACACACACACACACACACACACACACACACACATGCCCACACACATATATAACTTCATGGGAACATTCAAGCCTCAGTATATGGAAATTTCAATTTTTATCACTACAAATATTGTCTTTTAATAGACAGTGTAGTTTTTTTTTCTAGTACACATAATTACATGTGTGCTAGATCACTAGATCTAGATCACTAAATTGGATATATCCAAATCTGACGATACAAAATTGTTTTTTATTATTTGTACATAGCATTGCACAACAGGCTCCAAACTTGTTATCAAGACTTGATTGCAGAAAACTCAAAATATTTAAAGTGACCATTTAAAAGTAGGAAGCTGAAAAAAAAGGATGAAGCTGATTAAATATTTGTTCATGCTGGACCCTTCCTTGGCCTTCTAAGTTGTAGCAAAATACCAGTAATGTTTGGTGACTGAGAATATCTGGCTAGACCTTCCCTTCCTTCTGACCTATCTGGTTCCAACTGCAGCTTACTGCCCTGCTCTGACCACCTTATCCCTACACAGATCAGGTCTGTCAAATGATACCTCAGGCTGACATAGGTTGCTCTTTATTTTAGCTTAAATTCTATGGCAGGAGTCCTCTTCCCACTGAGGTGTCATCACCTCAGAGAGACCTTCTTTTCCAAAGTCGATGTGAGGAATCATCCCTTCTTTCCTCCAGTTACTCTTGGTTGATGTTCCCCACACACACACCCATAGACTGAAACTATTGAATTGTTCTAGCTCTGTGTTTGAACGTTAGCTCACTGTAAATAGAGTTAGCCTGTCGTTTCAATTACTCTAACAGTGCTGGACTCAGCAAATGTGCATCACAGTGAACCAGACATGGATGGAGATGTCTGAATTACTGTACCATAGGAGAGTTGTACTGATTCCCAGTTACTGATAACTCCCAAGTAACTCTGTCACTCTCCCCTGCTTCACTCAACTATAAAAATGGTGTAGAGTAAAGGAGAATGATGCCATACATGAATCTATTTTGATGTATCTGATTTCTAAATTGTTGACAATTTTCTAGGTCCTTCTGACCACCACGCTAGCATGAAGAAACTCTATTTGAATCCATAGTTTCTTCAGGAAAGGTGTAATTGTACATATGATAGCATCACTCATTCTGTATGATTTCACAAATGATGAGTTGCAGATTAGTCAGAATTGCTTTAAAATTAGGGTAAATGACAAAAACCAAATTCATATGAATTAACTGAGGAATCTAGGACTGATTCAAAGCTCCAAGGCACATTTCAATGAAGATAGGGGAATGGTTTTATCTATGAATTTAATTGACAATACACAATGCCCTCATTTGTGCTGTGACTTCTATGGAACAAATATACTTATAATTTTAAACTAATTTAAATAACAAAATAATAAAAAGAATGTAGCTATATATTAGAAAATAACTTTTAGCAATATTAAGATTACTCTAGTTAGAAAAATCCAACCTCTGGAGCAATATTTTCTACTTTTAAGATGGACTTTGTGAGTTTTGTTATCCAATGAGGAATGTCCCACAATGGTATTACCTTGTTTTTACTTTTACAATAATCATATA